ATATTCGGAGCATGCCAATTTGTACATATCTCGTACATGATGGGGCCCATGTTCTATGCCTTCTCAGCTTCTGATTTCTGAGTCGGGCTGATGGGAAGCTCCGAGGTGGCCGAGGCGGCGGCGCGCCGCGCGGCCGCGGAGGAGGCCGAGGCCTTGGCCAAGGCGCCGGGGCTCCGACGGCGGTGGAGAATGCCGGTTTGCAAGTAGTGGCAGAAGTGCGGTGATGCGGTAGCCGATGCGGTAGCCAGAGTGACATCATGGATGCTTAGGACCTGAAAGCAGTGCTTTGCAGGTTGTCAGTGGGATGGACGAGCCCGTCAGCCCCGACCAGGCCGTCTTGAGTGGGAGAGCGCTCCCTCGTCCTAAGCTTCAAGAGCATCTTCATGTCCAGAAATGCACTTGGTGGGGCACTTTGTAGCCATGTCCATTCGCAGCTTGTCGATTGCACATGAAATTCGAAGTTATATCCAAGAGCTACATTCCTCTACATTCCCGACTTGCTTCAGCGTTGTTTGGGCACACTTCGCTTCTCCGCGAAGGGCCGTGCCAAATCATTGCACAAACTCTTGTGACATCTTGAACGTTTGTGATAGGCTGCCGATCTAAGTGATGCTCAATGATTCAAGTGGACTAATCCACTTATCCATGATCTATCCCTGCTTCCGCGCCAAGATTTGACTCAGTGACTTCTCTTGAGATGAGATGTCTCAGGGCAGGCCTAAAATGTTGAGTCTCGAGACATCTGGAGAGGTGACAGCACTTGAGGACCTGCTTCCTGCAGAAATGCTCGATCTTGTGCAACGTGGATCATCGCTAGCCTCTCTCTCTTCCGGGCGTTCGGCTCAAGTCACTGCATGAACCCGGGCATTTTGCCTGTCTTGTTCTCACCTTTGCCAGGCCCAGGTGCGTTAGACATGTCCGCCTCTGCCGCTGCTACTGGTAGCCGGGAGGCCAACTGCCCATGGAAGACAGTGGATTTCTCCCCCGAAGGAGACGATCCGGCAATGTCGGACGAGGCCAACTATCAGACTCTGGTGCCAGCTCATCTGCTGACCGGCGTCGACAGCGATGAGTGCAAGACCCTGGTTCCACTGCCAGTGGCTTTGGAGTTCAGCCTTTCAGCCGCACTGGCCTCTACGTGACCTTGCAAAGTTGTCTAGTCTAGGGATCCAGGAACCTCCTCAACCAGTCCTGTCATGCATTGAAGTATAAGGGTTCCGATCTCGCAGCTCAGCAGTAACGTGTAGGTACCCTCCGTCATGCTGTTTCCTGAAGACGAGGGTATACTAGTCGTGCCATGCTTGTGCCAAACATCGAGCGGATTCTGTTCCTTGCCTACCAACCAGAGGTGGCCGCTAGCGGCCAGCTCAACTCACTGCTTGAGCTTGACACTCCATGTTGCTGATTCTATCTGATGCTACTATCTATGATCTGCCCTGCAATTGGACACCGGACATCTACCAGTCTGAACCCCTGCCAGACCCGGGCATGAAGAGCCATTTGCGCTACGGCCCAACGTCCTGTTACACTTCCGACCCTCGCAGAGGTTCTGATCTCAGCCCTCCACGGGAACATGCTGCCGCAGAATCCCCCCTTTCGGCGCAGGACTTTCCAGGAGCGGTGCAGGAGGACTGGGGCCTCATTGTCCCATTCTTGCGGCTTCGTGCTCGGATGTCGGAGCAAGCGTTTGGGAGCAGGAGGTCACCTGCGGCCAGCCAGTTTGGCTCCATGTCTATGATCTGACGGACTCGTTCCAGCTCCCTGTTCTCAACTCCGCGCTTCGACGGGCAGGCCGGGTATGCATATGTACCATCAGGCATTGCACAGTCTTTGTGTTCGAGTACAAGTAGGAGGCTGGTGTGAGCGCTTTGCTGATGCTACGCGGCAGAGTTGTGACTTGTTAAAGCATGGGAGCGAATTAACAAGAAAACGCTCTTGGAACAACAGGCTGGTCGCATGCCCGATTGTGGGGCACGGCGACTGCCGAAAAGGAACACCCTCGAACCCAAAAGCCTAGCTCCGGTTCCAACCCTTCAGGTGCTGGTCTTTTCCATGCGGGCATCGAGGCAACGTCGCAGGGTGCGATTTCCGGAATGAAGTCAGTTAACAGCCTCGGGTGTTTGCAGTGCCATACAAATAGCCTGAATCATCGCAATGGACCACAGCAAGCAGAGCGAGAAGTGGAAGACGGTTCTCTTCTACGTACCTATCTAATCCCTCATGGAAGGTCCATGGCTATGAGTACAGCTTCGGACTCCGTCAGAGGGGCAGTGGGGTCTACACTTCAGTGCCGAAGAAGAACACGGCACATGCGCAGCTGGGCAGGCGATTCAATCTGCAGACAAGCCATAACTCTGCAACGTTGTATCATGCATTGCAGGTACTAGTTACTAGCATTTCATATCACGTCACATCACGCACCTGTTATTGTCTGCTTAAGCGTCTTGAAACTGCACTGTCAAGTTCTGACGCCCAGAAATCCTGCCAGAATCCAGCGTAACTACATTAAATTGATGAACCAACTGCATCGTTGTTGAGAAAGGGAGTCGTAATTTCGAGTGTTTCTGCAATCCTAGAACGTGTCTGTGAATTGAACCAAGCAGCTTAGCCAGTTCTGTACAAAAGCTTAATCTAGTGTCGGTCTGCGCACGAGGATGTCAGTTCATAAGCTTAGCCACACCCTGCCAGTTGACTCAAATGACTGCAATATCTTGCAGTGCTGGGATGGACGCGACACTTGAATGTCCCTGGTGAGCCAATGACTGGACGAATCTAGGCATCTTGAGACTAACAGACGAAGTCTTTCTTTTGCTGGATTGCGTTTCCCTTCTCTGTGATCCACTTGTTGCCCGAAGAACACGCACATGGACCTCGAAATTGCAGTGGTAAGCATAGGAACACGGAAGGCCCCCCCAACTGCGCCGAAACGGAGATCTGCTGGCTGAAATCATGTCAGTGGGTCCAGGTATCGTGAGTCGCTTCTGTTGGGCAACACTGCGGTGGACCGCAAAGAGCTGAAGAAGATCATCAAAGAACTCAAACAGGCCCGACACAGCAGGGTGCATTTGCTGCTGCTTGCTGTTGCCATGAGATTCCCAAGCCAGAGGACACCAGATCATAGTTGAAAAGCTTCCACTGTCGAAAAGCACTCAGAACAGGAATGGCCTGGAAGGAACTATGGACCGCTCACTCGGAGCCTTTGCTATTGTAGGACTAGTTGTGGGATGCATGGGATGCATGGGGTGAGTTGGGCGATGCCCTGGTTTTCTTCCCGCTCCACGGATTAGAAGGGGGTTGTAAAGGGTTTGCTTTTTCTGTGGTCTGCATTGGCTATGGCCGAGCCCAGGAACTGCATCCACTTCTCTGCAGCCTTGACCGAGCAACCCGACTTTGTCAAGTGAGTGTGGACGTCTTGCCTCGATATTCTCGAGCATGCTACGAACGATAAATCTTCGAGGCTGTCTTAAACCCAGCCGACGCGTGCGCCAGGGTGAGGTCAAGGGAAACATTCTCGATGAGATCCTCGAGAACTGGTATGTATTCGGCATCTGGCTTGTCGTGTAGTCTGTTCACCCGCCTTCGTCCTCTGGTTCTCAGTCTTTGCCGGCTCTACAGCTTTGTCCTCGAAGCAAAGGCGGCTGGGCGTCAGCGCCGTGCCCGGCTGGGTCTACGGCTTCGCGGAGTCGCTTCGCTCCTTCGCAGGGTCCCAAGATGAGCTGACGGCGAATAATGAATAGGCGCAGGCAAATCCCGTCAACTGACAGGCTGTAGACAACTCGGCAACTCTACCTGTATTGAGCTGTGAAGCGAGCACTATTCGTAGTATTTTCGGTTGATGTCAATGTGAGCTCAATGATGAACATGCTTGCCCAAATCCTTTAAAGTTGCCTGTTCGTGGATTTGGATGGGGACTAGAAGGGAAGACGTTTTTCATGGGGTTCCGAGCTTCTCGAAGTGAGGTTTGGGCTGTGTACGGGGCTCGACAACCACGAGCTAGGTTGAGCATGCCTGCCCCGATTGGAATTATGACTTGGCCCTGTGATCTCAGGTGACTCGCCTCGCTGACTGCTCGGAGTCTGTCGCCCGCGCGGTGGCCCAGAGAGCGGAGAGAAAGCGGCTCCTGTTCCGGAGCCCTCGGTGAGGTATCGCGGATGAGACTGACTGCGCGGGCATGGTTCAGATCCTGGATGCACATGAGGCTGGACAAGAATATTTCTGGAATGGTTTGTTTGTGGGTAGTCTGGTTGTGCTGTTGCAACGGTTTTGGATCTTGCAGCTTCACTCGAAACAGGCACTATTGCCCCAACTCAGTTTCGAAAGCAACAGCCCCAGCAACCCAGTGGTCAAAACCTGGCACACGACGTGCGCAGGAAGTCCATGCCTTGGACCTCAAACGTGGTTCAGGTTCCACTATGCGCTCGGGCCTGGGACACTTCTGCTCCGGGTTCAGTAAACTAAGCTTCCGAATCGCTGTGTGCGTGCTATGCTCCTGTTCAAAATTACTAGCAACTTACGCAGTGCTGCGCGGCGTGCCGTAAGATTGTTGCGGCACAACTGGCTAAGGTCTGTGATAGGCCTCAACTTGGAGACGATTCACAGACCTACCGGTTTGGTCAGCTGAGCATGCCCAAGTCGAGATCGTAAGTTAGCGCAATGAACCGCAGGAGCATGTCGGCTTAACTGGCCATTCCATCTTGACAGCTCCGCTTGGAATTCGAGCACGGAGCACTCCAAGCTCTCCCTGCTCCTGGAATCAGGTTGTGCAGCTGCGGAGGTTCTTTTCCGGCATGAAAGTGGTTTCCACTTCTCTCCCGCAGATGCTTCATGCGACTGATTTCGTGACTGGTATAGTAAAGATGACTCAGATATTGAGCTAGTAGGTAGCATACGGTCCGCGCCCAGACTCCGATGGACTGGAAGGGCACTTCGGACTCCAAGCATTTGAGGGATTCGAAGTTCAGGAACTCACGTCCCTCGCTGCCTGAACTTCGTCAAGCGCTGCACACATGACAGGCTGCATGATCTCCCGAATTTGTAACCGACGCTTGACATCTCGTGTTGGCTGGTCGAGATAGGAGTCAACCTGTCATGACCTGCATCGGCAGAAATTGGAGCCTGCGCGACATGGCCTCTTTGAAACGCGGGAAAAGTCCAAGGGCCCTTCCGGCCTCCGAGCAGTTTCTCTAACTTCAGGGGATCGCACGTTGTGCTGTTGCTCCGGTGCAGGTCATGATGCAAGGTGCCGTGAAGGCTGCCCAGGCAAGAGAAGCTTCAACCATGCCGAGAAAGTATGATGTTCAGTCGTCTACAGTACGGCTCAAGTCAAGCTGCAATCAGCCACGGCGTCAAGGCCGTTCCCTGGCCTCATAACTTCATCTCCTGCCTCTTTAAGTCACTCCAGCCAGCCCGCAAATCCAGTCGCAGGAAAGGTTGAAAGTCGGGCCCTGTGCAGGAATGTGCAAGAAAGGTCGCTTGGGGCTTTTGAGCGCAGGACGCTGTAGCACTGCTGGAGGGAAAAAACCACGCCTGAGGTCCAGAAGAAAAGGCCGCCCGCGAGAAGAAGGAACAGGCGGAGAGAGCCCTGAAGCTGAAAGACCCCAGAACTCGAACATTCTCGCAGTGTTTCTTTACCGATCTTGTGCTTCGTTCCGCTGCACCACCAACAGGTTGCTGTGTAACACACTTGTGTGTGTAGGTACAAGCTCTAGCGGTCGAGCCCCGAAGCATCTGGGCTCGACCTTTTCGACTTCCCCCACTCTCCTTTCGCCTCTCAGTGCAGTCATGTCTTCGACTGGTGCCGCCGCTCCCATCTTCGTCGATGCGGTTGTCGCCGACTTGGTGGCACCCCCTACATCGACGGCGGCTTCTTCGGCACCTTCACTGGGGGCTTCGCCCACGCTGGGCGGGATTGGAGAAAGCGCCGGGCAGCCTACGACGGGCGCCCCGGCTGGGGATGTCGCCGGGTTGCCCTCGACGGGCGCCGCGGCTATGGTCGAGACCGCCGGTGCCGACGATGACGTGGCACCGCCGTTCATGGGCGTCCCGCCCTCCAGCGACGAGGAGGAAGAGTTGCTGGCGGACATCGTCGGGGCCCAGCCCTTCCCGGGCGCAGACGCCATCGACGGGGAAGCCCAGACGGAGCACTTCGCGCCGATCATCGCCTTTGACGCCCACGACGTCGCCGTCCAGACCTCTGGCGAGGCGATCTTCTCGTCCTTCGTGGGCGACACCACCCAGGAGGCTTTGGCGGCTGCTATCCGTGCCCTATCACGTGATGATCGTCGTCGCCTCGTCGGGGCGCTTAGGCTGGCTGAGGAGCAGCCCCTGGTCGATGTGGCGCCGGCTGGCGGGGCGGACGCCCCCTCTGCCTCGTCGGTGCCTACGCTGGACCTCCTCGACCTCGCGCCGGTGACGACGGCAGCGCCTTCGGGCGTAGTGGACCCGGGGCCTTCGCCAGCAACCGCCCGGACCTTTTGGGAGGAACAGGACGCCACAGCTGTGGCGGAGATGGCGGCCGCCAAGCCGGTCCCAGACGACGACCTCGACGCCGAGCCGCCCACGTCGCTGGAGCTCTTCCTCGACGAGCAGGACGCGGCCGCAAAGGCGAAGACATCGTCTGGAACGCCTGCGTCAGGGGCGTCCTCCTCGTCGGCGCCCGGGCCCGGGCCCTTGCAAGAAGCCCTTCAAGAAGGCGCCGCCCCCGGCGCTTGTCGTCGCCGGGGCGAAGGTCCCACCACGATTCGACGACCAGGGCCAGGTCGTCGAGCAGAAGCCCGTGGGCTCTCCGGCGTCGACTCGGAGCCCGCCAATTCCCAAGCAGGAGACTACGTCTAGTGGGCCAGCGGCATCGTCCTCGTCCGGGGGAGCGGCGGCTGAGACGCCCGAGGTGGTTGGAGGGGCTCCGGCCCCATCCGAGGAGTACTTTCGCAGGGCGGCCTTCATCCGCCAGGAGCAGATGGCCCGCAGTCGGGCCGGCCTGCGCTTGCTGCACGACGGCGCCACCTACCAGGACGCCATCGAGAGCAGCATCGCCAGGGAGTTGGCGGAGCAGCGCCAGGCGGCGGATGACGCGGCCTTGGCTCGGGCCAAGCCCAAGGGGCCACCGCCGCATTTGGTCGGCACGGAGGTTGGCCAACCCTTCGGCGCCCAGCTGGGCGGTCAACAGCCAGCGCCTGAAGTTACCACGGCGCCTCCCGCACGGGCGGCTCCGACTCGACCCCCGCCCGAGGTCACCACGCCGGCTGTGGCGCCGCAGCCCTCGTCGTCAGCGGCATCCTCTGCACCGCCCTCGGCGCCTACCCCATCGACTATGGCTCCAGCGGCGTTTTCCGCATCCTCCTCATTTTGTCGGGTACCGGTTCGTCGGCGGGCCCTGCGGCTGCATGCGTCGGGGTTCCTCCGCCACCGACGTCGCCCTTCCCGCCTTTGGACCGAGTCGGCCGGGCGGGCTACGGCGCCAGGAATCAGAGCCGTCGGCCGCCGGCGCCATTGAGCACCTGG